ATTTATTAATTGTTTCCTTTATACGTGCTTTTTGTGTCTTAAGAAATCCTTCCCAATCCTTAAGGTATTCTCCTACGCTAATCTTTTAAAGGCTCTATAGGTTTGCCTTTCACATATAGGTGTTTGCTATATCTAGAATTGGTTTTTCAATATGGTTTGAAATAAAATCCACTGAAATTTTTTCCCTTTATTGTCCCAGCTGATTTATTGAAATGTCTATTTTTTCCCCGCTGATCTTAGTGCCACCTTTTTTATGTGTGAAATGTCCATGTTTATTCATTCATTTCATAAGTACTTATTAAGCCCCTACTTTGTGCCAGGCACTATGTATGGGGATGTTTCTGAGCTCTATGTTGTGTTGACTTGGTCTGTCTGTTGACCCATATGCCCGTACCACAGTGGCTTAATTATAATAGCTTTTTATTGTCTTGATAGCTAGTAGCATAAGTTCTCCTGCTTTGTTGTTCTTTTAAAAAAAAAAGTGACTTCCTATTTGCCTTTTGTACTTCTATATAAATTTTAGAATTAACTCGTCAAGTGCTACAAACAAATCTACTGAGATTTTGGTTGAAATTTCATTGGATCTATACATCATCTTAGAATTGGTATCTTGAGAATATTAAGCCTATGAGTCCATGAACATGGTATATCTCCATTTATTTGGGTCTTTTTAAACGTCTTATATAAAGATTCCTGTATGGTCTTCATTGTGAAATATAACACATGTACAGAAAAGTAAAACAAATATGCAGTTTAACAAATTGGTATAAAGTAAACATACATGTAAACACCAAATAGTTCAAGAAATAGAACATTGCCAGTACCTCAGAAACCTACATCTATCCCTTCTTGATCACAGTTTCTTCTCTTTTTGCAGAGGTAACCAGAATCTTGATTTTTCTGTTAATTTCTTCCTTGCTCTTCATCATAATTTAACTACCTAAATATGCATCCCTAAACAATATAGTTTAATTTTGCCAAACTTGATGTAAATGGAATTGTACAATGTACAGTTTTTGTTGTAGCTGTAGCTTGTTAATATTGCTGTGTAGTATTTCATTGTAGAATATATCACAATTTGTCCATTCCACTGTTCATGGGTAGTTGAGATTTTGGCTATCAATATAAAGTTTTATAATTTTCTCCATAAAGGTCATGTACATCTTTTATTGGATTTTTTTCCAAGTACTTCATTTTTTAATGCTATTGTAAATTGTATCTTTTTTAAATTTTATTTTTTATTTACTGGCATACAGAGATACAATGAAGTTCTTTTTTATTTAAACATATATCCAAAGTCTCTGTAGATCTGATTTGTTTGTATGGGCTCTCACTCCTGGTGCTTTGTTTCCTTGTGTGTTTTGTGATTTTTGACTATGAGGTCATATTTCTTGGAACTTTGCACTGGCCTGGGATGAAGATTGGTTCTTAGAGCGAGATTTGCTGTTATTTTGTAAAAGAGGCAGCTTTTGAGATGGGCTTTGTCCTTCAGAAATTTGAGATAGAGTTGAATTTCAAATAGTAGGAAGAGTGTGATCACAGACACTGTGGTAGGAAGCTCTGTAGGTCTTGTTGAGGAAGAGTTGTTTGTCTGGAGTATAATATTTATGAAAGAGGGCAGGGGGAAAATATATTGGAAAAGAAATCTTGCAGAGTTCCTTGATTGCCATGTCAGAGTTTAGAATCTTTTGTAACTAGGGAGTCATTGAATGTTTTAGAGCAGGGCATTGACTTTTTAAGATTTTTGTGACGCAACTATGGAAGATGGATTGGAAGAGGAAAAGGCTGGATATAAATGGGACCAATTAGGAAGCCAAAAATAATCCAGAAGTTAATTTATTGTGGCAACAGATATTTATTGAGCACCTGCTAAGTGCCAGGCACTGTGCTAGTTGCTTAGAATAAAGACAGACCTGCTCCTAGCCTCCCAGAGTAGACCAAGCAAATGCAATTTCTTTTCTTTTTTTGGTGAGGAAGACTAGCCCTGAGCTAACATCCGTTGCCAGTCCTCCTCTTTTTTGCTGAGGAAGATTGGCCCTGGGCTAACATCCATGCCCGTCTTCCTCCACTTTATATGTGGGACGCCTGCCACAGCATGGCTTGATAAGCAGTGCGTGGTCCATGACCAGGATCCGAACCTGCGAACCCCGGGCCGCCGAAGCAGAGCGCAAGAACTTAACCACTATGCCACCGGGCCAGGCCTGCAAACACAATTTCTATGCGGTTTGAATGTGATGGTAAGGTGAAGTCCCTACAGGGTTCTCAGGGGAGCACTTCAGAGAGTTATTTAAGACTCTAGGGGTCCAGGACAGCTTTCTGGGGAAATTAACTTTTTGATTGTATTCTAAAGGTTGAATAGAGGATGTGAAGAGAATAGTATTCTAGGCCATATAGCAAGTGCAAAGGCCTAAAGATAAGAGAGAGTTCCTGGCCGGCCCTGTGGCTTGGTGGTTAAGTGCGCGCGCTGCGATGCTGGTGGCCCGGGTTCGGATCCCGGGTGCGCATCGAGGCACCACTTCTCTGTTCATCCTGAGGCCGAGTCCCGCATGCAGCAACTAGAAGGATGTGCAGCTACGGCATGCAACTATCCGCTGGGGCTTTGGGGGGAAAGAATAAAATAAATAAAATCTTTAAAAAAAAAAAGAGAGAGAGTTCCTTTGGAGGATTGCAAGTAAAATTGTGCTTGGCAGATTGGTACAATCAATGCATGAGATAAATTCAGCCCCTCAGATGTTTTTGTTTAACCCAGAGAGTGTTGTTAAGAACTTCATGTTAGTGGCTAACCTTTGAAAAAATGAAATTTAACCTGAAAGACTGGTAATTGGGCCCAAATTCCTTGATGTTAGTAATCAGCTAGAGCTGTGTAAAGGCTGGCTCTCTGTTCTCCAGTTTTTTGTTTATTTGTTTATTTTAAGCACCAAGTTAGCTAAACTGCCTGGCCCTTAAAAGTGCTTTCAATTTGGTGTTCCCTGGGCTAGAGCATAAAATGTTTAGAGGGATCCTAGAGAATGAGCAGGAACCAGATTATTTTTGTTTTCCAAGCCAGATTAAAGAGTTTGAGCTTGATTTTGTAAGTAATGAGGCCTCTGAAGGGTTTTTAAAGGGGAATGACATGATTCAGTTTGAATTTTAGACAGATTACTCTGACTGTAGGATTGAGAATAAATTAACAATTGTTAAGGTTGCGGCTGGGATACCAGTTAGGAGATTGTTGCTACGATCCAGGCAAAAATGTGGTAGCCTGGGGATGCAAGTGGACAGATTTGACAGATATATTGGCGGTAGTTTCAAGAGAAGTTGAATGTAGTAGAGGAGGAAAGAGGGATCAAGAGTGATACTCTGGCTTCTGTCTTGAGCAGCCGGGTGAGTGGTGGTGAGAATAGGAAACCTGGAAAGAGGAGCATAGGAGACATAAGGTGGTGGATGCAGTCTAGATTATGGAGGTATAATGAAAAAGATTGGCAATGAGTTGAAATGGAAGGCAAGAAAGGGTGGAGTTAAAGATGACACTTAGGTTGTCAGCCAGAGTGGATGTTGGTATCATTAACAAAAATTGTGCAGTCATGCGTCAGTTAACAACAGGCATACGTTCTTATACAAACCTAGATGATACAGCCTACTGCACACCTAGGCTACGTGGTACTAATCTTGTGGGACCACTGTCTTATAGGTGGACTGTCGTTGACTAAAATGTTGTTATGTGGTGCATGACTGTAAAAGACTGGTTCTGGAAGTTAAGTTAAATTTGAATGCCTCTAGGCTCTCAACAACAAATTCTTAGGTCCAGTTGAATTCGAAGTGCCTCTAGGATTCTGGGAAGTTTTTGGAATTGAGAATCTGGAGTTCAGAACAGAAATCAAGATGGAGTGAGAGTTTGGGCAGTCATCTATCTAGAAGGGATGGTCAAAGTGGCGCTTTGACGACATTGGGTCAAAGGCTTTGACAAGAGGGTAAAGGGCTTAGTATAGTAAAAACAACTTTGTATTTGGAGCCAAGTCTTGCTTCTTTCACTATGGGTGTTTTTTATAAAACAGTATCCGTCTTTCAGTCTTATGTTCTTCATTGTATTGAGGATTAAATGAGAGTCAAATAGTACCCAGAGCCAGACCTCTGGATTCCTGTTCCAGCTTACTAGCTGCGGAACCTTGGACAAATTACTTAACCTCTCTCTGCTGCAGTTTCCTTACTGCAAAGTGAGGATAATGATAGTATGAACTGTAAAAGGTTGTTGCAAGGATCATATGAGATACCGTGTAAAGTGCCTGAAACAGTGGCTGGCACAGAGTAAACGCTCAATGTTAGTTGTGTATTGAAAATACTTTATAAACTAAAGTATTGGTAAGTAGAAAAGAAGAGGGTCATCTTTGAAGACCTACTTTTAAGGGATGAGAGGAAGAGAAGAGAATTTTTAAAAAGAGGGAAGGATGAATCAGAATGTTGGGATAACCAGAAAATTACTGTGTGAAGGAAGTTTTAATGGGAGGATGTGATCAGAATTGTTGGTGTGATGATTATTTATAAAGGATTTCCCATCTATTTCAGTTATTATTAGTTATCCCTTTTTCTTGAATTCTTGGAGGCATTTGGCCTATAATTATATATTGTTATATTTAATATTAAAAAGAAGCAATAATTTGTAAAGAGCTTCATAATTTACAGAGAGATTTAACAATCTCATCCAATTCTCACAACTTCCCTATAAGGTAGATGTTGTTTTCCTTACTTATTAGTAAAGGAGGAAATTGAGGCTCAAGGGATGGACTTGCCTAAGCAGGAGAACTTGAGTTGCAGTCTACGTCTTCTGATATTGAATCTCCTTCGATAATCTTATTTGCCTAATTAGATTGTAAGTTTCTTGAGGCCTGAATGTAATTAGTAATTTCTTTTTATCCTTTACAGCACCTAGCTCAGTGCTGAGCAGATGTAAGTATTCAAGCTAGATTGAGTGAAGACTGGCAGCAGTAAAAAATAACATGCCCTTCCTCCCCTCTGCCCTCTAGCGCCCTCACAAAGCCAATGCTGAGGAGATGACCAAGTACCACAGTGATGACTACATTAAATTCTTGCGCTCCATCCGCCCAGATAACATGTCTGAGTACAGCAAACAGATGCAGAGATGTAAGTCCATTCTTTTCCCTTCCTACTCTCAAGCCCCCAGTTGAATCTCCCTTTCAATTGGAGAGGCCCACCCTGCCTTCCCTTGTACCTCCCATTCAGCTGACCCCGATTTCCCCTGCCTCCCAAGAGTGCCAAAGTGCTGCTTTTTTCTCAAGTCTGATTTTCATCATTTCCTGATTATAGGGAATAGTGATTGAACTTTGTCTAAAGGTTCATAACACTGTGAACTAGGTTCATAACTATATAGAAAACCGTAATTGTTGTAATGGAAAAGCACTGACCTGGGAGGGGGAGACAGCAGATATAGGTCCCAGCTCTGACTCTTAACTGACTGAGCAAGTCACTTCCTCTCGGATTTGTCTTTTGTGAAATGGACTAATGTCATCCCTTATAACAGTAAGTGCTCTCACTTTATGACTATTAATTAGTTTTGTTTTTTATTTTTTTGAAAGTTTTGATATTTTATTGGATTTTTGCACAATATCCTTTCCTTTATCATGCATATTACTTGAGAATTTAGCAGCCACTTAGGACAGACTCTAGATGATGTAATCTTTGAGTTGAGATGATTCTACCCCTGCCCCCTGGGACTTGAAACTCAGAACAGGGGCCAGCCCTGTGGCTTAGCGGTTAAGTGCGCGCGCTCCACTGCTGGCGGCCCGGGTTCGGATCCCGGGCGCGCACCGACGCACCGCTTGTCCGGCCATGCTGAGGCCGCGTCCCACATACAGCAACTAGAAGGATGTGCAGCTATGACATACAACTATCTACGGGGGCTTTGGGGGAAAAAAAAAGGAGGAGGATTGGCAATAGATGGTAGCTCAGAGCTGGTCTTCCTCAGGAAAAAAAAAAAAACTCAGAACAGATCCCATCTCAGAAGCCACACTCAGTTTGGGGGAATTATGGGGATTATTTTAGCTGTGGGGGGAAAATTGGTTCAAATTTGGGAAAAAACTATCATATCTGACTTCTCCCTTGTGTTATTTTATTTTACTTATTTATTTATTTTTATAATTTTATTTATTTATTTTTTTCCCCCAAAGCCCCAGTAGATAGTTGTATGTCATAGCTGCACATCCTTCTAGTTGCTGTATGTGGGACGCGGCCTCAGCATGGCTGGAGAAGCAGTGCGTTGGTGCGCGCCCGGGATCCAAACTCGGGCCGCCAGCAGCGCAGCGCACGCACTTAACCGCTAAGCCACAGGGCCGGCCCTCCCTTGTGTTATTTTAGAAATTATCTCTTAGCACCTAAGATTTTGTACAATAAAACAGTGTAGCAGCATTGTTGATAAGTTTTAATTAGCTTATGACAGTTTATTTTGAAATATCAGGAAATCTGTGGCACTTGTCTGTTGCCACTAGTCACAAGGTAGTCTGATTCCCAAGGCGGAGAGTTACTTATTCGTTACAGTAATTGTGCAGTGGTTATGATTATAGAACCATAGACACCTTCTTTGAAGCATTAAGCTTCTTTGCCACCCACAACTCCAGGAGCTGCTGTCCCCTCTAAGTGAGGTATTTACTCTCTGAATTAGCAGGGTCTTATTTCCTTCCAAGGTGAGACAAATTTATTCCTTTGCTCTAGATGGCTTTAGGGGTTTCCATAACCTATTTAGGTCAGCGATCAGGCTCCCCTCTCAGCACAGAGTGCTCTCATTAAAGAAGCAGCTTGGTAATGAAGCAAGAAAATGAGCTTTGATGTCTTGATTTGAATCCCTTAGCTCTGTCACCTTAGCTGTGTGTTCTTGGGTAAGTCTCCTAGCCTCTTTGAGCCTTGTTTTCCCTTCTTTAAAAGGAAGACCATAGTACCTCTTTCATAGTGGAGCTTGTCAGGGAGAAATAAGATAATGTATTCAAAGCACCGACTGTCAATGAATGGTAGCTTTTGCTCTTATGACTTACGACTTTTGTTATTTTCAATTTCTGTCAAGGCAGACAAAATATTAGGCCCTCTGGAGTGTATAGGTTTGGCTCTGGCTCCAAGTTTGCTCTAATTTTCCTGAAACCAGCATTCTAAAGTTGTGCATTAAAAAATTAGGGGCCAGCCCTGTGGCTTGGCGGTTAAGTGTGCACGCTCCGCTACTGGTGGCCCGGGTTCGGATCCTGGGCATGTACCGATGCACCGCTTCTCCGGCCATGCTGAGGCTGCGTCCCACATACAGCAGCTAGAAGGATGTGCAACTATGATGTACAACTATCTACTGGGGCTTTGGGGGGAAAAAAAATTAGGTCTGGGGGCTGGCCACGTGGCATAGCGGTTAAGTGTGCGCACTCTGCTGCTGGCGGCCCGGGTTCGGATCCCAGGTGTGCACCGATGCACCGCTTGTCAGGCCACGCTGTGGCGGCGTCCCACATAAAGTGGAGGAAGATGGGCACGGATGTTAGCCCAGGGCCAATCTTCCTCAGCAAAAAGAGCAGGATTGGCATGGACGTTAGCTCAGGGTTGATCTTCCTCACAAAAAAAGAAAAAGAGAAAAATTAGGTCTAGGGCTGGCCCCGTGGCTTAGCGGTTAAGTGCGTGCGCTCCGCTGCTGGCGGCCGGGGTTCGGATCCCGGGCGCGCACTGACGCACCACTTCTCCGGCCATGCTGAGGCCGCGTCCCACATACAGCAACTAGAAGGATGTGCAGCTATGACATGCAACTATCTACTGGGGCTTTGGGGGGAAAAAATAAATAAATAAAATCTTTAAAAAAAAAAAAAAAAGAAAAATTAGGTCTGGGAGCCAGCCCTGATCGCCTAGTGGTTAAAGTTCGGCACTCTCTGCTTCGGCAGCCCGGGTTCGGTTCCCGGGTACGGAACCACACCACTCACGTGTCAGTAGCCATGCTGTGACAGCAGCTCACATAAAAGACCTAGAGGGACTTAGAACTAGAATATACAACTATGTACTGGGGCTTTGGGGAGGGGAAAAAAAGAAGAGGAAGATTGGCAACAGATGTTAGCTCAGGGTGAATATTTCCCAGCAAAAAAAAAAAAAAAGAATATACTAAAACCTTAAAAAAAAAGAAAAATTAGGTCTGACATTTTCTCTCATTGAAGATGAGGGTAGGAAGGATGAGGCTCTCTGAGGACTTCAAGGCACCTTACTGCCTCGATTCATAGAGTTATAGAGAGATGTCACTTAGTCCAGTGCTTCATAGCCAAGGGACTCTACAGAGACAATAACAGGGGTGTAAGAGCTGAGCTCTTTTTTCGTATTTAACAACACCTAAGTAGGAAATTATACCTGTAATAAGACCAAATAAGTCAGGTTTCCTTGCTCTTGGCTAGAATGTAATAAACATTTTATGGTCACTTTGAGACTTTGAGACCCTTGATCAGAAGTTCTGACCTAATATTTAATTAGTTAAAATGGGAACATGAATAAATGTAGTTTTTTTTTCTTTTGCAGAGGAAGATTTGCCCTGTGCTAACATCTGTTGCCAATCTTCCTCTTTTTTTTTTTGCTTGAGGAATATTAGCCCTGAGCTAACATCTGTACCAATCTTCCTCTATTTTTTGTATGTGAGATGCTGCCACAGCATGGCTGCTGAGTGATGTAGGTCCATGCCCAGGATCTGAATCCATGAACCTGGGCCACTGAAGCGAAGTGCAAGAAACTTGAACCACTCGGCCATGGGGCCAGCCCCTAAATGCAGTTTTTTTGGCAGATAGTCTGTCAGAACACAAGGCTTATGGTGGAAACATGGTAAAAGGGATTTATGGTGGTAGAATTTGGAGACATTCTCATCCCATTTTGTAGATGTATAAACTGAGACCCAGGGAGGTGAAATGATTTTCCCAGGGTCACACAGCAATGTGGTAGTAGAATGGAGAATGGAACTCTAGGCTTCTGATTCTGGAGTATTTTTAAATATGTTGCATATAAAATAATTCAGACACACAAAAAAAGTATAAAAAATAATATAATGAACATCATGTACCCACTACCAGCCTAAGAAAGAAAACATTACCAATACAATTAAAGCCCCCTGGTGCCTCTCCTTGATCACATACCCTTCCCCGCTCTGCCGTATTTCCACCACTGCCCAGGTATAAGCACTATCCTGAAGTCAATGGTTAATCCCATGCATCTCTTTCTGCAATATGCTTTTTACTGCCTTCTCTACCTACCTCTGCTCCCCCATCTCTCGCCCAATATTGCTCCCCTTCAGTCTAAAGCCTGCCTAAGAATGAGAAAAGTATTTAGAGTGGGAAGAGGGAAAACTCATAGAAAAGTCCTCCCTAGCCTCATAGAGTAGGCCAAGTGAGGGTCTCCTCTCTCATTTTCCTCCCTTTCCCTCTCTAATCACACAGCTCGTTGAGCTGGGAATAATGGGCTGGCCATTTGAGCCACATGTTGGTTTGGGGCCTGAAGGAAAATATCTTTTTCTTGTGTCTGAAAACACCCATTTCCTCCCATGGGGGCTCTACATCCCAAATGAGAGTATAAGCAAAACTTTGGAAACCCAGGGAGGCCAAGCCAACTGAAGGAGGAAGCAGCCGGAGGGGGAAATTGCTTGCCAATGGATAAATAGCCTGGCCCCAGGGACCAAAGTTCTTATTGACACAGCCTCCCAGTGTTTACCCGGGAAGTGGGGGAGAGAGTCTACCCCCTTATGCAGGCTACACTTCTTGGAGCACTTGTCTTGGCAGGGCACCCAACCAGGGCACCCTCCAAGTTTAGGGCAATGCCACAGTTGGTATCTCTTATGGTATTGCAAACCTTGAGCTTCAGCTGTCTCTCAAGAGATTACCACAGTCCAAGCTGGGCTCTCCTACCCTACTTCTTGCTCTGCTTTGGGAACCCCTGTTGATAACAGTGGGTGCAGTGGGAAGGCTGGGCAAGAGAATAAGGATCTGGCCCCACCCCTGCCGCTAACTTCCTGTATATCATTGATGTCTCAGCAGTTTCCTTTTCTGTGAGAGGAGACTTGGAGCCATAAGGTTCCTCTCTAGCTCTGTGAGTCTACAACCTTCAGGTGTGCTTCTCTTCCTGTCTTTTTCATTTCATTTGCATTATTGTTTGCATGTGTTTCCTCATTATGTGTTAGTTTGTACTTTTACCCCCTTAGGCCTGACATAACTTGACTCCAGTTGTCACTTGTGGGTGTAGTAAAAAGAGCACTGGACTGTGGGAGTCAAGACACCTGGACTCTGATTCTGGTTCTGCCACTGCCTGGTTCTGTAACCTTGGGCAAGTCACTTAACTTCTCCGTATCTGTTTGTTCGTCTGCACAGTGGGGTTGATATCTGTCTTGTCTAGCTCATGGGGTTGTAATGAGGATCAAATGAGATTGTGCATGTGAAATTACTGGGGAAAAGGCCAGAGTATGTTTTCATAGGCTTTTAGGACGGACAGACCAATGCTTGAAAACTGCCTTTGCCATTTACTAGCATTTACTCACCTCTCTGAGGCTGTTTCCTTATTATAAAATAGGACCAAATCCTACCTCGGAAGGTTGTGTAAGGGTAAATGACATCAGGTATTTAAAGCATTTACCATAGTGTCTGGCATGTTGCTAAGTGTTCAGTGGATGATAGTCAGTTACATAGGTCTCTGTTTGCTTCCTCATTGGTCAGCTGGAGTGAGGTCTAGGAATAAACCCAGGCTGGGATATGAGGCTAAACTTTTCTCCCTCAAAGAATGAACCAACATTTTTGGAGTACTTCCTTGCTAAATGCTTCCCCATATAAGATTTCTTGTAATCTTCTCAACAGCTGAGTGAGGTGGGTATCATTATTGCTTGTTAGATAATGAGCCAAAGCTCACAGAAGTTAAATGACTTGACCCAATTACACAGCGGCTAAGCAGTAGAGCCTGGACTAGAACCCGAGCCTTCTGATTCCAAATTCTGTGTTTTCCATCAGCTTATGAATATGTAAACAAAAACTAAAGGAAATTGTGGAAACTAACTTTTTGCTTATGTCTTTCAAGTCAACGTTGGTGAGGACTGTCCGGTATTTGATGGCCTGTTTGAGTTCTGTCAGTTATCTACTGGTGGCTCTGTGGGTAAGGAATATACATCCCTCCTCAAGGGCTGTGCTGGGCTGTACTAGTGAGGTCTGCATTTTAGGCCACTGTCCCAGTAGGGCTGATCTGTGACCATGTAAAATGGTCCTGTGGGTTTTTTATCTGAGGTCTTTAAAATGTCCTACTGGTTCAGTCTCAGCCCAGGTTCAGTCTCTGACATGGTACTGACAGGTGTCCTTGACCGTCCTCTCCTACCAAGAGATCTTGTATACAGGAGTTTCCTGCAGACCTTAGGGGATTGTTGAGATGCTGTACATAAAAGCAATTTGTGAACTGCAAAGTGCTATAAAAATGGGAAATGTCATCATCTGTGTCTTACAAAAGAGCATGGTAATTATCTTTATAGGTCAGAAATACCTCCCACATATCTCCCACTTCCATTAGTAACTTCGATTACCTCTAGGATTACTTTAATTCCTTTCTTAACAAATATTTATTTTCCTACGATCATTGTTTTATGTCCTCCCCCCACCTCCTGCCTCCCAATATAATCTCAGAAAACAAAGAAGTGCACAGGAAAAAAAATTGCCCACAATTACACTGTCCACGGATAACCATTGTTACCATTTTGGTGTTTATACATCCGTTCTTTTTTCTGTTTGTATATATCTGGACGTAGCATATGTACATCTATATTTTATAGAAATGTGTTGCATTATATATATAGTTTTGTGCTTGCATTTTTTACTTAGTAATTCTTTAAAATTTCTCTGTAGTAATCTATAGCCTGATTTCTAGTGGCTACATGATTATTCCATGTTTCGGACCAAATTCAGTTGATAGAATTGGTCCCTTCTTGTTGGATCATTTGGGTTGTTCATGTTTTTATTGCTGTTGAAGTTATACTGCCACAAATGCACTTGCACACATGAGCCTGTATTTCTCTCTCACTTCTTGGACCTGTTTGTACTTTGAGCCTCTACTACCTTTGATGTCTTCAAAATTTTTTGGCCATGAACCACAGTTAGAAATACATTTACACTTGCAGTCCAGGTTATGCACGTAGGACACACCTTCTCTCGCTCTAAAGCCAGTTTCACAGAAGAGAAGTTATCTTTACTGTTATTCTGATATTTTTTCTAGTCTATATCATTCAAAAATACGTATACTAATCATGACTCACTAAACCAATTTTAAGGTCTAATAATGGGTTACCAATCTCAGTTTGGAGAACAGTTTTTTTAGAGTAGCCAGTGTTATGTTTACTCCCCAGTGGGATAGGGTGGGGAGGAGAGGACTGGCTTGTGAGTTGTACAATACAGCTGTTGAATAGGCAGGTCCTACCTCTCACTGGGTTCCCTGGGCTTCTTGAGGGAAGGGGGAGAGTGGCTTGGTAACAGGCCTGTGTTCTCTCTTCCCATGCCCAGCAAGTGCTGTGAAACTTAATAAGCAGCAGACGGACATCGCTGTGAATTGGGCTGGGGGCCTGCACCATGCAAAGAAGTCCGAGGCATCTGGCTTCTGTTACGTCAATGATATCGTCTTGGCCATCCTGGAACTGCTAAAGTATGCCTGCCTGGCCTTGTCTTTTGGAGGAGCACCTTAGGCCAGGTTCCCACTTCCCTCTCCCCTGGGCTTGCCTCCCTAGTTTGCTTTTCCTAGCGGTGTGCTGGCTAGGATGTGTTCGGTGAGTGTCTCTGGCCATCTTCTCCCTGACGGGGTCTTGGTTTGATCTGAGCCCACGGCAAGATCAGGGGCAGGCGCTGCTCAGAACCTGCCTCCAGAGTGTCCCTGTGTGGCTGGAGTTGACCCTGGCTGTAGAGTAGGAAGATTGGACTTGGTCGGCTTGATCAGGCCTCTGGAGACACCCCTGCCGCTCTTCCACCTTCCTTCAGCCAGTTTCCACGTCTCTGGTGCTTAGAGATACCTGAGGGAGGCAGCTAGCCCGGTAAGCTGGGACCTGGCGCCCTTGGCGCGTCCCACTCCCAAAGAGCCCCCAGACCCCTGACCCCCTTCTGATCCTAGGTATCACCAGAGGGTGCTGTATATTGACATTGATATTCACCACGGCGATGGCGTGGAAGAGGCCTTCTATACCACAGACCGGGTCATGACTGTGTCCTTTCATAAATACGGAGAGTACTTCCCAGGAACTGGGGACCTACGGGTGAGAACTCCCTTCAGGGGCCAACCAGCTCACCCTCAGCTGCCAGCTCTAACTCTCCTATCTCATGTCACCAAAAACCACTTCCTGCCTCTTCTGCCATTCAGAACACCATACCCCAGCCTGGGGCACCTGCCATGGTCTCCTTCCCTCCCTTATTCTGGAGGAGGGGAATGATGGGACATAAAGGGTTGAGAGGGATAGGAGTCTCCTGACTAATTGTGCTTCTTTCCTGGCCACAGCTGAGTTGCATTACACTATTCAGATGTCTCATATGGCTTGAGTTTTAGGCTAGAAACATCAGGTTTTCTCACATGGGCTAGGAATTGGGACCCTTATGGATCATCTCAAGGGCTCTTAACATTTTTAGGTCACCTTCCCCTTTGACCATCTGACTGAAAGCTATGGACTCTCTCCCCAGAAAAGTACATGAACTTTTACATCTGATATCAAATAGTTAATAGACCCCTGCCCTTACTGAAGCCCATCCGGGGACCTCAGGATAAGGATCCTTGGAAGCTAATTCGTCAGGCTGTTCTGTCTGCTTCTATTAGCGTAAATACAGTGAAACCAGCCACTTTGCCATGCCAGTAGCCCTTGGGTGAAAAGTGGCTCTAATTCAGTTGTTTGCTATGGCAAGCATTAGAATAACTGAGCATTTACCATTTTGAAGAACTCTTCTTCCTTCTCTGCTCCCCTTCCCCAGGAGAGCGGGGATAGAGGAGTGAGCAGTAAAGCTCTCTGGAGAGGAGAGTTGTTATGGGGTGGGTGTTATTTCTGTGACCCAGCTACCAGCCAGCTTTAACCCAATCCAAGGTGGAGGTCTTGTGCCATGGGGTAGAATATTCCATCTCTGGGTCCATAAACAATTCTCAGTCTGGGTGCAGGTTCAGTGGTGTGTCCAGAGATGTGAGCTAGACTTACCAGTGAGAGGAATGGTACTAACCAAGGTGCCCCTGCTCTGTCCCTGGCCCACCTCATGGGCCCAGCTTGTCTCTCAGAACCACTGTCTCTCCTTAGCCTTCCAGCCCCCATCCTTGAACTTCTTCCTAGCTTCATCTTTCAGTGTTACTTTAATGTCCCTCTTAATTAGGATATTGGGGCTGGCAAAGGCAAGTATTATGCTGTTAACTACCCGCTCCGAGATGGGATTGATGACGAATCCTATGAGGCCATTTTCAAGCCGGTAAGTGGCTTATCCACCACCTGGGCTACAAACGGGATTGGTCGAAGGGAGGGGTGACAGAGCACCGCCAGCACACCTCAGGGATCTCTCCCCACTGAGAGGCTGCTCGGGAAATGAGATGTGTTTCAACCCTGGATTGCATGCTGTGTGGTCAGTTAGGGGAACAGAATTCATCCAGATATTTATTGATGCCTTTTGGGGGTCAGGCCCTGTATTGGATATAAGAATATGTAGGACATGATCTATGCCCTTGAAGACCTCACAGTCTGTGGTGTGGGGGGCAGGCACATACCCAACAGCGTGTGGTCAGGACTATTTTTGAGGGAGGAACAGAGGAGTGAGAGACACACTACTGCCTGGGCTGGGGAGAGGGTAGTCAGAGCTGAGTTCACAGAGGTGGTGACATTTGAGCTGGACCTTGAAAAATGAGTAACCCATGTGAAGAAGGAGGAGGTGCTGGAGGGGAGGGGAGGCACTCAGAGGGAACAGCGCTAGCAGAAAAGCACAGAGGTGCCAATATGTAGCTGTATGTAGACCAGTATGATGTGTAGGAGGAGTGTTGAAGGATGTGGTTGTAAATGTGTGTTGAGGTCAGTATTTCAAAGGGGGCCTTGAATGCCGTGCTGAGGAGTTAAATCTTCCCCTGTACGTAACAAGGAACCATTACTAGAATATTAATCTAATAAGGTTAGGTAGTCCAGCAGACGCCAAGTGCCTACTATATGCCCGTAGTAAGGGCAACAGAGAAGCCTGAGATATACAAAAGTGAAGTGCTTCTTCACAATATAAGGCTCAAAATCGCTAGGACCAAATGAGTAGAGCAGATGCAACTAAGGGTCAGAAAGGCTTCCTAGAGGAAGTGGCACTGGAGTTTGGGCAGTAAAAGAGGGAAAGATTTAGGGAGTTGATAAGGAAGCTGTTCTAGGTTTGGGGTTATTAGACCTAGAAGCCTCTTGGAGATGCTTTCCAATTGGAAAATTGAACAGAGTGAGGAAAATGAGAACTCCATGCTGATACTCCCTTTTCTCTACCACCCACCTGAGGGAGAGGGGAAAGGTGGGAGTGGGTGATAAGGAACAGAAGACAGTGCTGCAACCACCCCTTTCAGCCCCAAACCTCACATAGCTTTTTCTGAGGCTCATGGTGACCAGGATGTGTCCTTTTAGGTCATATCCAAGGTAATGGAGATGTTCCAGCCCAGTGCGGTCGTCTTACAGTGTGGCTCTGACTCCCTGTCTGGGGATCGGTTAGGTTGCTTCAATCTGACCATCAAAGGTGAGACCAGATAGCATAGGGATGGGTGGGCAGGGTCCTGCTGGGTGTTCCTGTAACCCAGCACCCCTCCTCCCCCAAAGGGCATGCCAAGTGTGTGGAATTTGTGAAGAGCTTCAACCTGCCTATGCTGATGCTGGGAGGAGGCGGCTACACAATTCGTAACGTTGCCCGGTGCTGGACATACGAAACATCTGTGGCCCTGGACACAGAGATTCCTAATGGTAATAGCTCCAGGGCCAGGGTGGGCGGGGCAGAGCTGGAGCTCATGTGTCCTCAAGTTCACAGCCCCTTTCCATTGGCCTTGACCTGTCTTCTTCTGATACTAGTCATTGATTCTCCTTCCTGTCCTCTGTGATTGTCAGACCATAGCCATCAGTTTTTCCTGAGTCCTTTTTGACCCTCTCCCCTCTCCCCCTGTTTCTGGTCTAGACAAAATTATCAGTGGTTATTTATAGCTTTGGAATTCTTACTCTGTAGGGTAACTGGGGAAATGTGTGAGGGACTGCTCCCAAAGAGCATTGCCTAAATTCTTCTAAACCAGGGGCTTGGGTCTTCTCTTCATAGTGATGTAGACACTGCACAATGGCTTTAAAAAGATTGAAATCCTATAGGCACCCAAGTCTCACCCCATCTCAGAGGCATTCTTCTCTGTTTGATAGTTGGGCTAACAGGTCCAGATAAACCTACCAGTGCTTTTCTCAGGGTTCTGTGGTGGCCAGGTCTCTTGACTTTCTTATCCCCTGCCTCAATTAGAGCTTCCATACAACGACTACTTCGAATACTTTGGACCAGATTTCAAACTTCACATCAGTCCTTCCAATATGACTAATCAGAACACTAATGAGTACCTGGAGAAGATCAAGTGAGTATATCCCCAGACACCCCTTGATTGAACATGCCAGGCTCTGGTTTGTCCCTAACCAGAGCCCAGCCACCCTCTCTACCATTGGCCATAGACAGCGACTGTTTGAGAACCTGAGAATGCTGCCCCACGCACCTGGAGTCCAAATGCAGGCGATTCCTGAGGATGCCATTCCAGAGGAGAGTGGCGATGAGGACGAAGAAGACCCTGACAAGCGCATCTCGAGTAAGACCCAGACCCAGGCGCCTGTACCTTCCCACTCAGTAGGCAGCTCTGACTTCCCTCTGCTGTTCCTGGTCCCACATTCCTCCCAAGCTACCCACCAGTTGAGAAACCCAGGTCCCAGTGCCTGTAGGAACAGTTTAAGGAGTCTGAGCTCCTTTTCTTGGTCCCCTTCCCTTGGTGTCTCTTGGAGGACATGCAGGGAGTCACTGGGCACAGATGCTGAGATAAAGAATCTTCTGCTTTCTCACCCATATTTTCCATTGCCTCCTAGTCTGTTCCTCTGACAAACGAATTGCCTGTGAGGAAGAGTTCTCGGACTCGGATGAGGAGGGAGAAGGTGGTCGCAAGAACTCTTCTAACTTCAAAAAAGCCAAGAGAGTCAAAACAGAGGATGAAAAAGAGAAAGACCCAGAAGAAAAGAAAGGTGGGTTTGGGTTGGATCTTGAGCCCCAGGCCCTGGAGGAGGATGAATTTATGTGGGGCATTAGGAGGAGGGAGCTTACTCAGGCCCTGCCAGCTCCTTTGGGGCTCTTCCTCAGCTCCTTGGGCCTTTCACTGGCTCCCGGAAGTGGCAGGGCCCACAAAAGAAAGAAACTCGATTCGTCATCTCCACTGGCTAATTGAGCCCTGCCAGGCTCCAGAGCCAGGGACGTGCCTGGGCTCCCCGTGGTCAGGAGCATGGCTCTCACATACCACCCAAGCCCTTTTCCCAGCTCTTCACCCATTTCCCAGGGGGCTGCCTCCGCCCACCGGGTTCAGGCTCTAGCAGGCTGAGAAACCGGTTCGACTTGTTTCTTCTCAACAGGGCTCACTGGGAGGATCTGGGATGGGCTTTTCTCTTTGAACAGTAGTGTTGGGGAAGAGGGTTCAGGGTAGTGAAGATCCCATAGGTCTTTCCAGAGGGGCTGCCCTTGGCCATCCCTGCACTCTTGTGTTCTAGAAGTCACAGAAGAGGAGAAAACCAAGGAGGAGAAGCAAGAAGCCAAAGGGTGAGGAAGGAGCTGTCATCTTTCTGCCATTGAAGCACCAACCCCTTTGTCCCACCACGCTGAGAGGGAAGGCACAGGGACAGCTGGTCCAGCTTACAAAGGCCTCTTTCAGGAATCAGTCTGTCTGTCTCTGCAGTTCTAGGCAGAGCTAGGAAGCCCCAACCCTCAGCAGTCACCTGGGCAGCCGGGGGTCCTGTGGAAGTCACTGTACCCACACTTTTGCCTCAAGGCCTCTGGGGTGGGTTATCTCATGGCAATCTTTGCTCTCTTCACAGGGTCAAGGAGGAGGTCAAGTTGGCCTGAGCAGACCTCTCCAGTTCTGGCTTCTTGCCAAGTTCCCCCACCTTTCTCCCCCAACCCCTCAGATTTTATATTTTCTATTTCTGTGTATTTATATAAAAATATATTAAATATAAATATCCCCAGGGACTAGACAGGAACCAGGGCCCTGAGCCCAGGGCACACGTGCTGGGTGAGCTCTTCTAGTAGCTGCCTTGCCACCCATCCCTCCCCAGTTCTTAATTTTGAACCATAGTGGGTGCCAGGTCTGGGTGGAAGGGATACTCTTAAGCAGCCATAAGACAAAATCCTAAAATGCCAAGTGCCTGCTTAGTAGCTTTGGAAAGGTGTCCTCATCGAGTATTCTAGAAGGGGTGGCTGGGTCTTCAGGTACCCTCTATTCTTTTCAGGCTCCTCAAGGTAACATCAGCCATTTTTAGATTGGTTCTGTTCTCATCTTCCCACTGGTCCCAGGTGAGCCCAGAAGTTCACACTGCCTGCCCTCTGTCTTCCCCCAATTCTGCAGGTGGAGATTGGTAGTCTAGTTTACTTCTTGAGATACTATTTTCATTTTTGTGAGAATCTTTGTAATAAAATGGTACATTTCTGTACCCTTCTGAGCCTGTCTCCTGGCAGTTTCCCTGGGTTGATTTCAACTCCACTTCCCTGCCCTTTTGGGGTCTATGAGGATCAGGGTAACTCCCTCAACAACAAAAGAATCCCACAACTTACCTGTCTTAATCCATCCCTCAAGGTTTGAGGTTAACCAGTCTTCTCACTCTACCCCCAGAAGACCACTCATTAAAAAGCACCACTAAAGGGACGACATTTATTCCTTTTCCAAATGTTACAGTAAAACCAGGTGGAAGAGAATGGTTTTAGCAGTTAGAAAAAAAAAAAAAAGTACAAATCTGGGGTTTGGCCATTAAAAGTTATTTACAATAATGGGAGGGAAAAAAAAGACAACAAGAAGTTGTTTCACATTACAGACCTTCCCCCCACCCCAAAGCCTAATACTTGCTTACCAAGTCAAAAAAGAGACACAGTTGATTCACAAGCTGGAGGTTTGAACTTGAGTAAGACATTTATAAAAACCTAGACGGGGCAGTGTCCTCCCCAGCCCAGGTGCCACCAGGCACAGCACAAGAGACTAAAGACTCAACAGGGGAAGACCGGACACTCAGGGTTTGGGAGTGTAGGCACCCCACATCTGGCTCAGGGATTTGGGGAGTAGAGTAAACAAAACCTAGTTGGAAAAGAATTGGGGAAGAAAACCAGTAATTGCCTTCTGCAGGGGTGGGGACAGGGAAGGAGGTAGGGCCAGGGACAGGAGCATTTCACATCACTAACCTAACTTGGGAAACTGCAAGGGACCATCTTCAACTGGCCTTAAGAGGTAGACCAGATGGGATGAGGGGGAATCCACAGGAGGGAAGAGGAGAGGGAACGTGGCTGGGAGGGGGCAACAGCCCCTTCCTTTCTGGGCACAGGAAGGCAGCCAGGGTGCCAGGTCCAGGCAGTGACCTCACAAGGACAGCACAGTTCTTGCAGCTTAGAGATCACCCACCTGCCCCCACCCAGCTACTCATTCTCCTCGCTGGCAGATGTAGGGCCACTCTCAGGCCCCGAGGGAGTGGACTGCTCTGCAGCCTGGGGCCCCGCCTCCTCTTCTGTGTCTCCTCCCTTGGAGGCAGCACTAGCCTCTGCCCCCTTGGCCTGGGGCTCCTGGATCTCAGGAGTGGTAACAGCCTTCCCTTCCTGGGCAGTGCCCTCCTCGCTGCAGGCACCAATCTCCCCCTGCTCCTGCTCTTCCTCTGTGGGTGAGGAGGCAGAAGAATCACCCCCACCCTCCTTCCGATTTCTCTTGAAGGACAGGCCACTCAATTTGAAAGGCTTCTTGAAAGAGAATTTCTTCTTCTTCTTGGGGGTCTCCTTCGGGGCGGCATCCCCCTTGGCCTCAGCGCCCTGGCTAGGGGGTGCTGGCTCGATGGCATCGCCAGTGGCCCCAGCTGCCTCTTCTGTTCCGTTCACGGGGGGCGACTCCCCTTCGCCCTTGGGAGATAAGTCTCCATTGCTTTTCACGTGGCCATTCTCCTGCAAGGCAGAGGAGACAGCAATGAGGGCCGGGGCTCTACCCACCCCCGCCTCAGCCCGCCTCTGGCCCCTTCCAGACAACGGGGTCCCGACTCGTTCTACTGCAACCCCAGAGGCTGGTGTGAGTCTCACCCCACATCCGGGATCCCGTCAAACATCCCCCTCCTGCCCCTCGCAGGCTGCCGCCGGCAGGAGGCGCTGGGGTCCCGTGGCCCCCCACCCACCTCCCCCGGGGCGCGCTCTCTATTCCGCGCAGAACCGCTCGCGGCCGCGGATCGCGGGCGGGCGGGCGGGCGAGCCGTGCCAGCCGATATTGGGCGGGAAGCCGCCCCGGGGCGCTGTTCCCTGCACCTGGACGGCCTATTTTCCCAGCCTCCCGCTTTGTGTAAACGGTCCCCCACCCGCCTCAGGCTCTCCCCACATCTCGACTCCCCCCTAAAAAAAGCCCGTGGGCCACTGAAGTCGGGACTGCGGAGGGGGGGCCCTCCCCTCCGGGCACCCGCCCCGCGGCCCCTGGGCGCCCCCTTGCGCGGCCCCGCAGCGCCTTTGTTCCCCGTGCGGCGCTCGGGGCGGC